ATCAGTTACTTTGGGCCAACGGTGCCACGGCCTGCCACCCGGTGCGTCTCCTGTGCAGGATGGTGGCTAAGAGGATACAGGCTTTGCAGCCACATGTGGGCCCCCCCCGCCAGGTCGTGGCATCCTCTCCGGGAACACTAACGTCTTCCCAGGCAGGGCTGTTGGGAAGATTTAACATACAGTATACACAGTGCCTGCACACGCAGACGATACATGGCGGCTGTTACTTTTATATGTTGGCTGAATAATTTAAGGTTGACTCAAACCTGACATTTTCTTGTTTAGTAAGAAAACTCTGGTTTAAAATGAAGCACCGAATGGCACAAATCAAGACTTAGCCAGTTACTGTTTGCGGGGACTTCTTTTTAAGTAAGGATTTCTCTGTTTTGTTTATTCATTACAAGTGGGGGGTAGGGGCAGACACAGTGATTTCCAAGCAGGCTCTACGCTGTCAGCAGAGCCTGACATGGGGCTCGAGCTCACGGCCCCTGAGATCAAGACCTGAGCTGAGATCAAGAGTTGGACACCTAACCAACCGAGCCACCCGGTTGCCCTTCTAAGTAGGGATTTTAAGTTGAGAAAGCATCGACCCCATCTTTATGAACAAAATCAGGTAATACAAAGTATTTGAGGCAAGAGAAGTGACCTAATGCTTTCCTTCATTCCAGTTAAAACCATGTATTTGTTGTTCTTTTTTTGGTGGGTTGGGGGAGCGGACACAGCACACTAGTGTTTGGTCTGTGAGGGAAACAAAGCCCCCACAAAACCCTAAAGAGGCCCTTTTGGTACGTGATGGACCTCTCTCCTGCTGTTCCCACCCCCGAGCCCTCCACACGCTTGTAGACGGAGGGTAAGGAGAACGCGAGTTCCTCAACAGCAGTAAATGATGACTAGCCAGTTCTCCAGGTTAAACGAACCCAGAAGTCTACCTCCCAAATTGCTTAAAAGCACCTGGGCCCCAAGACTTAAGAGCTCAAGCTGAAACAGCGGGAGACCGACAGCCACAAGACCTCGTTCCGTAAATGTAGTGATCGCAAGCAATCAGCAATTCCTTTAGACAGACAGTGCAGAAAGGCTGGTCTCCTGCAAAAAAAACACATCATGTCTTTATTTATTTTTTTAAAACTTTTTAACATTTATTTATTTTTGAGACAGAGAGAGACAGAGCATGAATAGGGGAGGCGCAGAGAGAGAGGGAGACACAGAATCTGAAACAGGCTCCAGGCTCCGAGCTGTCAGCACAGAACCCGACGCGGGGCCCGAACTCACAGACCGCGAGATCGTGACCTGAGCCGAAGTTGGCCGCTTAACCGACTGAGCCACCCAGGTGCCCCTCACATCATGTCTTTAAATAGTGCATGAACAAAATGTTTGTAACTCTGCCTAACAAGGTTTAATACCTTAATACATTCTGGAACACTATGAACATGAGATACAAAAGGATATTACGAGTAAACATCCATTCTTTCCAAAGTAGGTAGATAGTAAGACCATGCCTTTTATGTTGGTACACGCGTTATTACGTCAGCACTTGCAGCCTCTTACAGCCTTGGGTACAGAGACCAGCACACCCCAGTGTTGTCTGCGTGGGTGGCCTGTGGGTCCTGCCACTGCGATGTTCCTTCTCAGGACGGGGACGCAGGCTCCTGTGCCCCAAGAAAGCCATGCCACGGCTGTCAGTACACACCGGTTACCTGGATGAACCAAGGTCCTCAGTCCAGGTTAAAATGAAGCATTCAATCGGGGCACCTCGGGGCTAGGTCGCTTGAGCGTCTGACTCAGTTTCGGCTCAGGTCATGGTCTCATGGCTTTATGGGTTTAAGCCCCACATTGGGCTCTGTGCTGATGGTGTGGAGCCTGCTTGGGACTCTCTCTCCCCCTCTCTCTCAAAATGAATAAACTTAAAAAAAAAAAAAAAAGACTTGTTTAAAAGTAAATAAATAAAAAGAGGTATTCATTCTACTGCAAAGTTTAGACTGTTTATGTGAAGCGTAGTAACTCAGTTATTAAATACAAACAATGGATGGCTGCCAGAGCAGGCATGGGCAAAACGGGTGAGGGGGTCAAAAGATACAAACTTCCAATTGTAAAATATGCCAGGGATAGGAGTACAGCAGGATGACCACAGTTAATAATACTGTATTGCACATTTGAAAGTTGCTAAGAGAGTGAATCTTTAAAAAGTCCTTATCAACAAGTTTAAGCAAAAAAAGCGTAACTGTAGTGACAGGTTAACTAGGCTTACTGGGACGACTTCATAATACATAGAAACATCGAGTTATCGTGTACCTCTGAAACTAAAACGTTACAGGTCAGTTGTACCTTAATTTAAAAACTCTTTTATAAACAAAGAAATCTAAGCAGCCGTTCCACGTTAGCTAGCCTGGCATTCATCTATTTTCACAGACTCTGGCCCCCTTGCAGTGTTTCCCAGGGCCACCTCCATCTTTCTACTGTATCTAATCATGACCTAAAGCCTAAAGCTTGACGTGCTGAGTACTCATGTGTGATTTTACTGTTCACTGGAAATAATAAAAGGGATTTAAAGATCACTAAGTCAACACAATCTTCCTAGACCATCAAATCCAACAGAATCTGCTTCTGTAACGTTCCATATTTTTAGAAAAAAAACGCCTAGGCTTTTGTCCTTAGGGGAAACTTCATCAAAGGTAGGGGAAAAATACCCAGCATTTGTCTTATCCACTTACCCTGATTTATTTCTCAGAGGCACCTTTTATGAAATAGGGTTTTTTTTTTTTTAATTTTTTTTTTTTTCAACGTTTATTTATTTTTGGGACAGAGAGAGACAGAGCATGAACGGGGGAGGGGCAGAGAGAGAGGGAGACACAGAATCGGAAACAGGCTCCAGGCTCCGAGCCATCAGCCCAGAGCCTGACGCGGGGCTCGAACTCACAGACCGCGAGATCGTGACCTGGCTGAAGTCGGACGCTTAACCGACTGCGCCACCCAGGCGCCCCGAAATAGGGGTTTTAAAAGTGACCCGTGGATGGAGTTAAGCTGTTTATTCAAGATCAAACCCCTAAAGGACAAGGATGGGTTTAAACCCAGCAAAGTTTAGCCTCTGTGTCTGTGTCTCTACCACAGCTTTTTACATACACCAGAACTGTATAAATATGAAGAAATCCAGTATTAGCAACTGTGTTCTATTCAATCTTAACTCCCATAATTTCATCTTCAGTGTTAGCTCTAATTAGAAGTAGAAAAAGCAAATGGAATTTTCCAGAAGGAAAGATTCTTTTGAACTACTTTCATTGCCACTGGACTGCTAATCAAGTATCTTAGCTTTTTATTATTTGTCTAGGCTAATCTTAACACTCAAAAAGATTCTTAAGGGGCACCTGGGTGGCTCAGTCGAGCACCCGACTTCGGCTCAGGTCACAATCTTGTGGTCCGTGGGTTTGAGCCTCATGATGGGCTCTGTGCTGACAGCCTGTCAGTGCAGAGCCTGCTTCAGATCCTCTGTCCCCCTCTTTCTGCCCCTCCCCCACTCACACTCTCCCCCAAAATAAGTAAATGTTACAAAAAAAATTTCTTAAATGTTTTTGAAGTTTTGCCTTCTTGTAGATCCTGATATGCAAAAAGGTCACATTTGAAGGTATAATCAACTGCAATTCGCATTTCTTCACCACGCAGTTCTCTATGACAGGGATTCACTGTAAAACACTGAGGGATTTCCATCTGGCACAGATAATGTTCTCGGTGTTCATCAAATGAAGTAAACACTCAGAAAACAACCTAGTGTTTACCCAGAGCCCTGTGTGCTCCAGCGGCCACTCAGTTCTTCCTTGTGACGGCTTCATAAGCGGCTACAAGGCAGACTATACGAAAGAAACAAATTCTCTTGTCCACTTACCGCTTAGAAATGTGAACCATATTATCCCCTATAAATGAAGTTGGTCTACATCCGAAATCAGGAAACCTCTTGAGCACAGGGCCAGAAAATAAGTAATATCAGCTTCGTGGGCCATTTGGTCTCCGTTGCAAACAACTCTGCCATCGTACAAAAGCAGCCACAGACGATGCTTAAGCGGATGAGAATGGCTGTGTGCCAATAAAACTTTATTTATGGACACTAAAATCTGAATTTTTCAATTTTCATGTATCATAAAACAGGATTTTTTTTTTAACCATTTAACAATATAAAGCTCATTCTTGGCTCACGGGCCCTACAAAAACAGGTGGCAAACTGGATTTGGCTTATGGGCAGTATTTCCCACTCCTGGTCTACATATATATTCTGCTTTGACATTTATTTGCTGGCAATTAGATAACTTCTACTTTGTTATTAAGAACGACAAAAGAACTTGCTTAAGGCTTTGTCTAAACTGCTGGTATACAAATTTGTAAAACAAAAGTTTAAAGATTACTTCCATCCAAATTAAATATCCTGCTAGAGGAGCAAAGAGACCAAATTTATCTCTCGACCTCGCGTCTGCACAGCTCTCGTGCACACACAGGAAACACACCTTAGTCCTACAGTGGCATTTGATGACGGTGGGACAAGCGCAGGGTCGCTTGGAAATGCACATTTACGCGCCTTATGTAAATGAGTATGGCCACACTGGGGTGTGTGATGGCACAGAGTGATTCGAAGTTCCATGACCAAGACACTTCCATGTGGTTTCATAAAAAATATGTCCGATCACTTAAAAAATGGCCACTTGGGGAACAAGCCAGTATATGTTTGCCATGTAAAACTTAAACCATTTCCTTTTCTACAAAATAATCTTCAAATTTTAAACCTTTATATTGAATTGTTAGATGGACAGACATTATTAGAGCAAGAAACAGATTTGCTATGGGCTATGTTTGTAGCAATTCGGCTAATTTTTTTCAACATACTCATGAAGTGATGACATTATTTTTATTGAAATAGCAGCTACGTGAAATCTTTCCACATTTACTGCATTAGGTTGCTTCCAGGCCACCCCCAGCCCAGCCAACCAAAAACAAAAAACAAATCAGTCTGAGACTCACTTGAGTGTTTAATTCAAACCTATATTTGGAGTTTCTAAAATGTTGATCCACAGACCACTCTCTGGTTACACGTGTGTAGCAATGAAAACAAAAGGCAGAGAATCCCGGCCATCCCGACAAAAGGAACAGCTCCTTTCCCAACATCCTTTAAAAATACACATGGGACCGTCTGGCACGTCAGCGCGGGCGGTGGTGGAACACACGGGCTCGTGGTGCTCTCCTCCCTGCGGGCCCAGCTCCGCCAACTACCTGTTGTAAGCCCGCTCCTTTTTGGATTTCTCCAGGGCCTTGTCCATGGTTTTCTCATTCTCCCCTCGACACTTGGGACAGTACCACTTGCCCTTTGGTTTATGATTCAGCCCCACGCAGGAGAAGTGGAACCACTCGATGGGGCACTCGTCATTGTCGCAGCCGATCATTTCTCCATAGGAGACCTGATTGCACAGACAGTACGTGGGCTCGTTCGGGTCGATGGGAAGGTCTGCAGGGGACGCCTCCCTCTCGGCTTTGGCCTTGGAGCGCTTCTTCTTCTTGGAGGCTTTCGCCTTCTTCTCCTTGGGCGTTCCCGAGGTGACATCATCGTGGTCGTGATGATTGGCCGCGTTCTCCCGGTTCTCGTTGTTGCGCTGCCGCCGGGACCTCTTGCTGTTGGTCTTTTCCGCCTGCGTGACGGTCTCGCTCTTGGACTTATCCTGGCCGGCTTTGCCACTGTGGCCAGTGGTGTCATTGACCTCCTGGTGGGCCTCAAAGAGCTCCACGTGACTGTCCACCTGCCTGGTCCGGTTCTCCACCAGCTCCACCATCTGACTCACGATCTGGATCTTCTCGTCCCCGAGCTCCTGGCTCCGAATCAGGGCTCTCTGAATGCAATGTAACACTCTCCTCTTCTGGACACCGTCTGTCTCACGTTTAAATTTCTCATAGTACTCATCCAGCTCCTTTAGGATTTCTGCAGAGGGAAAAAGAAGCATTACACCCATGCCACAAACACTGCTGAACCTTTTATTTGATTCTCCAGTCTAGGAGAAAGCAATGGCGAAACACAGAAACGATCGCTGCAAGATTTCCTAGGATGAAAATCCTGCAACCTACAGGCCTTTCGAGGGGGGCACCATTTTTCTCTATTGAAAAAAATCCCTGGAACTAAATACAGATGCCAACACTGTTCCGGTTCAGCGAGGTGCTGCTCAGAGCCCCCCAGGGGGCTCTGTGCATTCGGAAGCATGGGGAACGTTTCTCGGAATGGGCAATGACGAGGAAAAGTTTAAATTTAGGTGAAGTGGGGGCGCCTGGGTGGCGCAGTCGGTTAAGCGTCCGACTTCAGCCAGGTCACGATCTCGCGGTCCGTGAGTTCGAGCCCCGCGTCAGGCTCTGGGCTGATGGCTCGGAGCCTGGAGCCTGTTTCCGATTCTGTGTCTCCCTCTCTCTCTGCCCCTCCCCCGTTCATGCTCTGTCTCTCTCTGTCCCCAAAATAAATAAATGTTGAAAAAAAAATTAAATTTAGGTGAAGTGCTGGCACCCAAACTTTTATTTTCTGTAAAATTAATGATTTATGTCCTATATTTCCATTATTTTATTCAAATATTCTTCTAACTTAAAGGCCTGTATTTCCTTCATTTTAATGTACCGATGTCTAGAATACCCTATTAGAGAATGTATATAAATAGTACCCAGTGACCCAGAGCCTCAGTTTATCAGTCACATCTTTCTCCTCCTACCACGTTATTCCTCCGTATTTACTGAAAACAAGAATGGTTTGTCACAATAAAGCCCAACAACCTAGCTTTGCTTTGAAACAAGGGTGTCACATTTTGCTTTCGCATTTACTGCTTAAGACAATACACATTCATATCTATAAAAACAGATTGTAAAACATTACCAAAAACAAAAACCCTCAGTACTATATTTAAACCTTGTACAGGGGATGCCTGGCTGGCTCAGTCTGTAGAGCATGTGACTCTTGATTTTAGGGTTGCGAGTTCAAGCCCCACATTGGGTATAGAGATTACTTAAAAATAAAATCTTACAAAACAAAAAAACAAAAAGCCCCCAAAACTCTGTACAGACACTATATGATTGGAAAATGTAACTTGGGAAAATTAGGAAATTTCCCAAGAAATAAAAGTTGTTAAATTATCTTGATCGAAATAAAGTAAATATTCTTGCCAAAAGCTATTGAAATACAAATAGAAATTCCCAGTTAGTTTCCCCAAACAGTAACAAATCTAAATAGAATCAGGGGCACGTGGCTTAGTCGGAAGAGCACACAAATCTTGATCTCTCAGGGTTGTGAGTTCCAGCCCCATGATGGGTGTAGAGATTATTAAATATCAATAAATAGTATCAGATTTTTTTTCCCTGAAACCCTCTGTAGTCTCTTAAAATAATGCAATTCTACTCTCCAACCAGGAAGTATGTGTATGTATGGGGCCGGTGGTGAGGGGGGCGGGGGAGCGGTCGGTGATGTATAAAATGTAACCTGCACGGGTTCCAGATCTTATCTTCAAATAGTTATAAGGCATAAACCTAACACTGAAATAAACACAGGCACTTAGGTCAACGCTGAAGCTTACCTAAATCTAAGTATTCTGGGGTGCCTGGGTGGTTCATTCCATTAAGTATTGAACTCTGGATTTCAGCTCAGGTCATGATCTCAAGGTTCATGAGTTCAAGCTCTACATCAGGCTCCGCGCCGACACTGACAGTGTGGAGTCTGCTTAGGATTCTCTCTCCCCCATGTTCTCTTTCTCTCTCTCAAAAATAAAGAAAACAAAAAAGAGAGCTCTGAAGATACTTCCTAATTGAACAACGTAGACTATCTGCCACCAGAAAGGAGAAATGCCACAGTCTCATAGCATCTTAGAGTAATTCTGAAAATAGGCTCAAGGTATCTAAGTTCTATTTCATAGATATTAAAATATGAGTTTCTGCAACGTATTTTTAAATTGATTGCACATTACAAAACTATTATCTGGTTTAATCAAGTAACTTTTTTTTTTTTTTTTAAGTTTATTTTGAGAGAGAGCAAGCAGGGGAGTCAGGGAGAGAATCCCAAGGACGGTCAGCACTGTCAGCGCAGAACCGTACACAGGGCTTGAACTCACCCACCTTCAGATGAACCTGAGCCACCGATTCAGACTTAGATGCTTAACCAACCAACCAAGCCACTCAGGTGCCCCTCAACCAAATTTCTAACGACAATGTTACTCTTTGATAGAAGAGAGAACGATTTTATCTTATTGCTAATATTAAATTCAGTAAGGTATGGCTTATTTTATATCACAAGCAAACTTATATCCATGTGAGGCCTCAGTCTTGGGAAAGAAACAAAAATGACATCACAAAATTACCAAGAAGTAATTCTGTTCCCTACACAATGGCTTAATTTCTGAGACTCTCCAAGCACACCGTTCCATCAGCAAAGCCAGTTAAGTACACACTGTAACAAGACCACCACCAGTTCTAACTGCGCGGACGCCCTGCCAGGACACTTTCAGGAGCTTCTTCAGTTCCACCGGCTCAAACTGCTGCTGACCTTCCTTCTGAAACGCTCCACACCAACATCACTGTAGGCAAGCAATGGTACCACGGAAAGAATTTAAGGATTAAGTGAGACTGTAGCAAAATTTAATGTGATCTGGCCAATGTATAAAAGGCTGCACTGGTGTTCTTTATGAAGCTGACTTCCATTGCGAGGTGGGTATTTTTTTTTTTTAATTTTTTTTTTTCAACGTTTATTTATT